ACCCCCGCCGCGCCCCTCCCCTCCTACCGTCCTTTATAAGCCCCGGCGACCAGCACCGCCCCATGTCTACCTCTCCAGCCCCTCGAGATGTCCCCTGCAGTTAGGATCCTGGCCGCGGTGCTGCTGGCGGCCGTCCTGGTGGCCACCGTGGTCGCCGACCACCACGAAGAGCACGGCCTTCCTGAGCCCTCTAGGGTCCTGGTACCCCCTCAGCCAGGTCCCGTACGTTACCTCGAGACATGGCATCGTTTGAGTCCCTAGCCGTATTGCCCGGATTTCGACACGCTCTTCTATTAATCCGTTGGAATCTGTTGCAGGAACGTTCGGACTCCTCCGACCAGCAGGAGCACCAGCGCGACAAGCGGTAAGCAGTTGGCCGGACCACCCCCCAGATAACAGTGTGTCTTGCCTGGTCGCCCCCCTCGGTCCGGCATCAGGTCTGCTGGAGCCCCGCGCCGCCTGCGCAGCAGCCGCCTAGACGCCGGTTGGCGCGGCGCCACGAATGTTATTGAGTCGTTTTGAAGTGTTTTGTTACGTGTAGTTTTCTGAGTGGTGATTTATTGATCCCTGCCCGGGTGTTTTCTGTCCGCAGGTACGTGTACTCGTCCCCCGCCTACGTCCGGCCCGCCGTCGTGCCCGTGGTGCGGCCCGCGGTGTACGCCACGGCCGCGTACCCGGCTGTGTCGGCGTACCCCGCCGCCGTGTCTCCGTACCCCTCCGGCATAGCGGCGTACCCCACTGGCGTTGCGGCGTACCCCACCGGCGTAGCGGCGTACCCCACCGGCGTGTCGGCGTACCCCGCCGCCGTGGTTCGCCCCGGCGCGGTCTTGGCCGCCCGACCCGCCGTGGCGGTCGGGGGCTACGGCGGCACCGGTGGCTACGGCGGCTACCGGGGCTACTCCGGAGGCGGCGGCTACCGCTCGACAGGCTCCCGAGGCTACAGAGGCTAGCCTTGCGCCCGAGAGGTTTGCAACCAATCGCACGCGGCCCCTGGCGGCCCGCTCAGCCCCAACCCAGCCGGCAGACTGCCCAAACACCTGACCTGCTTCTTATGTCTATTCCAGGATCGTCCGTCCCTAAATGTCACCAAGAAGCGAAGATGTCCGTGTGAAATAGTTACGAATAAAAAAAATTGGTGACATAAGCTTTGAGTAATTTCCTTTCCTGTTTTGTCTGGTGCCATAACAACCGAAAGACTTCTATCTGGGCTCGAAATTAATCTTCTCTAAGTTGATATGCCAGTGTATTCTGTATTGATCAATTGAATGTCGAATGCAGTGTGCATACTGGCAGAAGAATATGTGTAGTACCCTGTGCACTAGCATTGTGAAGCATGTTGTCTTAGAGCCTGTTGACTTTCAGTTCCAAATGTGCTCTGACTTATCACCAGACAATAAAAAAAAGAACAAAAACAAATGTATATCGTGTTGGATCGATCTAGCTGTTTTTAGTTTTGTATGCATTATTTTCTCTCTTGAAAATACTAAAAACAACAGAGACTCTAATCAAATTGATGCGACTTGCGAGTGATGCCTATTGTGACAATGACCTTATGGCTGCAGGCTTAAAGTTTTCACCCATATCGTGTCAGAGGAAAAGTACTGAAAACAGTTTCTAAGAAAGAAACCCCAGGGAATGGCTGTAAATAATTTATAAAATGTTGTTGTTTGGCACTTAAACATTACTGTACAGATTTTATTGACACGAAATAATATGAGACCATCATGATGACTTGGTGATTGATGACTGGGCTCTCCGCCGGAGAGGTAGAAAATGACACGTTTGACGACGACGCTAGACTCTTCACTTCTTCCCCCTGCAGGCAGGACAAACCAGAGTCAGAAACACGATTCCACAGAACAGGTTGCTTCCTAGAAAAACACAAGTAAGGGGAAGAGCACCCCTCTTACTCACCAGCCGTAGCTCGACGACTGTGAAGATGACTGCGAAGACGACTGTGAGAAGGAACCGCCCCCACCGCTGCCGCCGTAGCCAGGGTTGTAGCCACCGCCGCAGGAGTTGCACGGCGGTGGGGGTTGGTTGCACGAGTGGCACACGGGAGCCTCCTGGTAGACGGGTACCGGCACGGGCTTGTAGACGGGCACGGGCACGGGCTTGTACACAACCTGCGGCTGCTGGGGCCGGCCGCAGACGTCGCAGTACCCGCCGCCGCCACCGCCGTAGCTGCATAGAGGACAAATGTTCGAGTGAGTGAGGGGCGACATCTTCTCTGACTATTTCCTCCGCTCCCGCTGGTTGGCGTGTTGCGCTTACCCGCCCTTGTTGATGACCACGGACACCGAGGGTAGGCCGCCGCCGTAGCCACCTCCGTAGCCGCCGTAGCCGCCGCACTTCTTGCAGATGTGCCTCTTCTTGCGGAAGTCCTTGCTCTCGGACGTTTTCTGAAATATGGACGAGGGTGAGAATTTGCGGACGACATGCACCGCGTGCTTCAGTTCTGCACTACTTCTCAAAACTTACCACACCATCTCCGTCGACATCGTCGTCGTCGTCGTCTTCTTCGGCAACGGCTGCCGCGTCCTCCTGGCCCACGGCGTGGACGTGCTCGTGCGAGTGCTCGTGCGAGTGGTCGTGGACGCTCTTCTCCTCGGATGCTTGCTCTCCTGCCGCAGGTGGCGAGAGGCCAATTGAGTCAACGTCTTCTTGGGATGATGATGACGACGATGACTCCTCTGGCATGTACGAGTCCCTAGTGGCCTCCTTCGCGTCCTTCTCCGAGTCTTCCGGCATGTAAGAGTCCTTGGCACTCTTCTTGGAGTCCTCTTTGGAGTCCTCCTTGGAGTCCTCGGGCATGTACGAGTCCTTGGCGCTCACCTTGTCACCCTCCTCGCTGTCCTTTTTCGATTCCACGGTAGGCGATTCCACTGCCTCCTTGGCGGCCGTCGAGTCTACCTTCGGTGGCTGACCGATGAGAAGAAAGTCATCGACGACGGGCCCCTCGCTCAGGGCCTTGAGCTCGCCTGCCTCGGGCAGGTACGAGTCGGCGTGGTCCTTGACGAACTCGGAGTCGGTCGGGGAGGGAGCGGTGCCCAGGGCCAGGAAGTCGTCGGCGCCAGCTTCACCTGAGGAGGGCTGCTTGGGTATGTAGGAGTCGCTGCAGACGGAAACAAGGCACGAGTTAGCGCAGTACTTCAACCTCTAGTGCGAGCTCTAGGCAAAATAGACCAGTGCCAGAGATCTGGTCTCGACCAGGCCCAACTTACATGGCCGGGGGCAGCAAGTAGTCGGCAGGCTCGGGGACGGCTGGGGCGGTAATCTTGGCGGGGGCAGCGTCAGACGGTGAGGCCTTTCTCCACTCGGTGGCGTCCGGCTCGCCAACTGGCGGAGGGAGCAAGTCGGTGGCGGGCTCGGCCACAGACGGGGCATCCTTGGCCTCCTCCACGTTCACGTCGGACCTGGGCTCGGCCACCGCGGCCGGCTGGGCCCAGTGGTCGGACGAGTCCACGACGGGAGGGACAAGGTCCGTGACGGGCTCCTTCACATCGGCCACCTGCTCCTTGATCTCAGAGGCGGCCTCGTCGGCCTGGACCATCTTGAGTGCGTCGACGAGCTGCGTCCAGAACTGGACCGTGCTCTCGGAGTCGTGCTTCGGAGGCTCCAGCTTGTCTGACGGCTCCTGGGCGGCCTCCGCGGCGGGGGCCTCGTCCGCGCGGGGCTCGGCGGCCTGCTTCGTCCACTCGGAGACATCGGCGGGACCCTCCGACGGGGGAAGCAGGGTCTCCGATGGAGCGCTCACGACTGGCGCAGAGGCGGCGGCGGGGGCCGCACCCCAGTCCGCGGCAGAAGCCTGCTGGTCTTGGACGGGAGGGCGCAGCTTGGTCAGCTCCTCGGATGCGGCGTCGAGATCTATAAATGGAGAAACGTGGTTAAGGGGCGCTTAGGACTGTGTGACGCTCACCCGCTCAACAGCGCCGACGCCGCCGACGCGACGCTCACCTGCCACCTCGTCCGCCGGCCTCGGGGCGTAGTCCTCGTCGCGCTCGGCCTGGGACTCGGGGTCCCTGGGGTCCGGGATGAGCACGCGCACGACCTGCGGCAGGTCGCTGTCGTCCGAGGTGTCGACCTCATTGGTGAGTAGCGGGTCGGCCGTGGAGGGCGGCGGCCGGATCACGTCCACGAGGAACATGCGGCGGGTGGGCCGCGCCGTGCGCACCACGTCTGGAACGAACACAGAAGGAACACATGTTAAAGCGTTTCGAGTTTCCCGCGCTCGATGCGCATATACTGCACGGTGAGCACTGAGCAGCTCATTTAATGCTCGGCGCAGCCATACACACACCGACCGAGAGGAGGCGAGAGGCTCTTTGAACCCGGCACAATATGGAAATTCGCATGAAATTTTATTTCGTTTGCGTCATCTCATCTCGACTCTCGCGAATAAGCGAGTGACCCCCTCCCCTTCCACGGCCGGCGAGGCTCGGTGCGCAGTAAGTGCCTGCCGCTCATTTCGATGGAGAAGTGGCGGCGCAGACTAGCCCGGCCTCGCACACAAATTGGCGAGGGGTTCGGAGGGGGGAGGGGGCGGAGACAGTTTGCCACCCCAAGAAAAAGGAGAAGAAAATTATTAAGGAGCCATACACCCTGTCGCGCTCCACCGGCGAGCGCTCAGTACAAACCCATTACCCACTACTTGGAGCCCACCACACCAGCGCCGCCAACCACCGCGCGCCGCGCCGCAAGATATCTCGCCTAACTCAGATGTGATGCTGCGAGGATGACAGCCGGGCTCGACGTGGTGATTTGCGAGTGATAAACTGTGAGAAGCGGCTGGGCTTCTCTACGGGTGGCTGAACCTGAGTCGGGACGAAGGGCATCGCCATCAGCGGCCGGGCAGTCGCCACCCGCGGGAGGCCAAGCAGCAGCGCGGCTCAGTTTGAATTTGTAGGCGGCCCGCTCTAAAGTTCACAGCTTCGACTCGCTCCATTCACTCCGAGCTGCTTTATTCTCCGCTCCTTCTTTTTTTGTTTTACGGGCAGCTCTTAATTAATCTCTCCAAAGCCCCCTCCCCCCGCCTCAGTCAGTTCCTTTCTCCCCTCTCCTCATGCAACGCCCTTACTCTGCTCCTTGTCCCTTGCACGCCTCACAGGCAGCCACGATCCTGTCGACCGTGAAAGCGATTGTCTGAGTTTTTTCCCTTCTCTCATTCCGGTGTGGCTTGAGTACTTTTCATTTCAGCCGTTTTCGTTGGTTTTGACCCACCCGCGACCGCGCCTCGGTCACCGTTGTTGACAAACCATAACGAGTGAACAGACACACTCGCGGCCCGAACCCGCCTGGCGTGAGGTCTGGGCGCCCACATGCCCGTCGCGGCGGCACTTGATTCATCGCAGTGCCAGTGTCGTTCTATCTTTCCCATCCGTCCTTCGCGCGTCCTCTAGAAACAGACTTCCCTCGGCCTGGCCTGACGTGCCGTGGCGCGGCGCGGCCAGGCCACTTCCACCAAGTGCGAGGCTGCGCCTGAAGCCGCTGATCCCGCGCCTGGGAACTGATTTTGCCGGCCCTGCCCGCCGACCCGCAGAGTCGAGCCCGCCATCAAAATATCCTGATGACCAACAAAAAGCTGGTCCCTGGTCCTGGTCCCTCTCGCCTCACCTTGGGCTCGGCTGGCGGGGCTTTTGCCTCGCGTTTGTTCAGCGCGCCGAGTGTGTCGCAGGGACCGGGGACCGGGTGGGCCGAGCAGCGCCGCCCGCCGGCTTGGCCCACATAACATAACAAACTGGCTCGGGACCAGCCAGGCGGCCCACGCGAGTGTGTGCTGTCGCCCTGGGTCAGAGTTGGCGCAGGTCAGTAGTCCGGGAGCTCTGTTGAATATTCCTTATCAGCCGCGGGGCCGGTTTGGGCTAGGTCGGGGGGCGATCAGGTCGGCGAGGCGCAGGGTGGGCCCCGGGCCACGGCGTGGGGTCGACAGGCGTGACGCCGACGGTTGCCCCCCGCGGGCCGTCCGCCCAGCCGCACGCGTCGCTCGCCGGTTTTATGGCGTTTAAGCGATTCCTCTCCGGTGCAATCGAAGGGCAGGAGAGTCCCTGTTTGTCCCGCCACGCCCTGCAATCGCAACGGCTAACGCAAGTCGAGCGCCCTCTTGGGAAAGACGAGGCGCGCGGCGCTCCTGAACGACGCGGTGACCAGCACTGGGGCCACCAGGACTCCTCGGCGGGGACCTGCACGCTGGGCGGCGGCGACAGCGCGCTGCTCCCGCTCGCAGACCTGGTGGTGCTGGTGGTGCGTAGCCCATGCCCTGCTGAACCCTCTCCTCCCTCCCTCCCTCCCTC